AGCTTCTAGCTACTAGTAGGTTCTTGTTATTAGTAGTAATGCCAGGAGCTACGAGTAGCGTCCTTACTACTTGTAGCGATGCCCTTGTTACTATTAGCTTCTTAGTTTTCCATTCCAAACAGCCATAGGATGTGAAGGGACGTGTTTTGGTGCTGAAGATCGAAGCTGTTCAATCGACATCAATTCGATGTCTTTCATGTCCATTCTTTGCGTTCCGAACGGAGACACCCGGGTCTGAATAGGGCCCTAATTAATCATATGTTTAAGGGTCCGGGACCATCCAGAGGATCGCCCATAGCTCCAAATCCCTCTCTATTTAGAAGTACTTATGCACTTTCGCATCCAAAACCATCGAAGGGTGATTTTAAGGATGATGTTTTTTGTCGTTTAGTAGTTGTTTTTTTGTTTTTAGGGGTTAGGTGGCTTTTGGCTTCTGTGGCTTTTGTGGCTTCTGGCTTTGGTGGCTTTTGGCTTCTGTGGCTTATTTTTTGTGGCTTCTGGCTTTTGTGGCTTTTGGCTTCCGTGGCTTTTGGCTTTTGTGGCTTTTGGCTTCTGTGTGGCTTTTGGGTTAGGGTTGTGTAGCTTTTGTGGCATTATATATTTATTAATATTTTTTTCGTTTGTCTTTCTCCCTATATCTTTTTCTTAGAGAGGGGCGCCCGCTTTGAGAATGGGGTTCAGCTCTGTCTAGGGCAAACCTGTGCATACCAAAAAAGCACTTGACTCAGGAGCACCAGCAGCAAAACAATGGAAACCATTTCTATCGTGATGCCTCTGCCTCCTCTATCGAAATCTCTACTCCTTTATGACTTATCTATTGAAATATCTATTCTCTCATTTTGATCCATTACAATCTCTATATATGTTTGATTTGTAACTTTTCTGGTGGTAAAATCACTATGTGTGTATGACTTTCATATTGAAACCTCTCTTTTGATGAGTTTTCTATTGCATTCGTTGCTTTTGATGACTCTTCTAGACAAAATCTCCACTTGTAATGCCTTTCCCATTGAGAACCACACAGACCACCACAAAAAAAACAGAAGTTTCCAATTGAAGTCCCGACCCAAAACCATCCTCAGACCCCAAAAGCTACTAGTAGCTCCTGGCATTGCTACCAGCGGCAAGAAGCTACATTCGTAACAAGGGCATCGCTACTGGAAACCCTTTCAAAACGCAGGTCTTTGTCCGTGGGTTTGAGATCTCCCGCGGCTGCGGGCTGTTGTTTGCCACCCGAGGACAAGGCAGATGGACATCCAGTGTTGCGCAGTGAAGGTGAGCAGATGGTGGTCTTAAAGGCGAGAGATCTGGAGAGAGAATGCAGTGGAAGAATCAGGGGTTTGGATGAGTCTAGAGGGGGTTGGGATGAAGCTCTCATGCAAGTCATGGATCCAGGTTTTCAGCTGGCTCGTTTTGGTTTGGGTCCATACCAGGACGTCCATTTGCTTTTGCCATACCGAAGCTTCGGGTTCCAATGGTTTGTGTCTTTTATTTGTAACGGGCACCTTTGGTGAAAGGGAGTCGCCTTTGGGTATGGAGGGTTCACCTTATCGTTCCAGAACACAATCCAGACCTACGTTCCGGAACATGCCGTTTCCAAACGTCGCGATCAGGAGGTCAACGTAGGGCACGTTTGGGTCTGCTAGACTGCAGTCGCTGATCTTTCATGGGTCGGTTTGTATGTACTATCAGGGGACAGCTGATGCTTCCCGTGTTCATCTTCTCCAGGATGATACAAGTGGCTTGCCTTTCAGCGTCCACTTGGGTCCTGGAAATTGGGTCCTGGAAAACCTCTGCGCAAGTTGTGCAATCATTGTGCATCAACTCTGCTGCAGTGAAGAGAGGTTGGTCTTGTAGGCACATTGCCGAATCAAAATACGCGTCTGACTCCCAAGCTCCACTTTGTTCTAATACATATCGACCTGGGACTCTGCCGCCGAGTCAACGGCGGCCCGCGCAACATTGCGCCAACGAGTTCCCAGCGTGGAACACGCGGTTCCCTTTTATTTGCCTGGCGGTCTCAGTGGAGAATCATCGAAGCAAAGGCCGTTTTTGCTGACCATCCATTAGGGCCATCAATGGGGTTAAATGTATAGTAACTATTCCAGTCCCATGGATGGTCTGGGTAGGACTCTCAATCATCCAAGTCCAGTGACATGGAGGTATAGGGATTGATCGCCGCTGCGTTTCACCCTGAGCCGTTGGTTTTTGATTCATCGACCGTCCAATGACCAGCCCCGTGGATGCCCGGCTCAGGCTACGCTGTACAGCAACACCTCTCAGCGCAAAGCTCAGATGTCGGCTGGACTTGTTTGCTGATGGAATGCCTGAAACAGGACCCCTCCTTGCAGCCGATCACATTCCAATCAGAAGGTTTGATGATCAAACCTAGAATCTATCGAAAGGAAGAAGCTTTTGACACATGGAATCCCAGGTTTAGGCTATTGTACATATAGATATAATTTATATATTACTATATATCCATGATATATCCATGATCCATATATTATTAATACATGTTGCCGATGTCGCCTCTATGCTCAATTCCCTTCACTGGCTGAATGAGCCATGCAAGTTAAAATTGACTGGTCTACATGTCAGAGTGACCACAGCCAGCGCCAGTGCAGTGTTGATTTCATTTGAAGGCTTGACTACGGCAACATCCATTCATCTACATAAATATTATATACTATACATGATATCCCAGACAAGTTAAGGTGGGCTTGCTATGGTTTGATACCCAGACTTTCCAGGAAGAACTTCACATCTTACCTGTTGCACATCACAACCACGCCGGATCAGAACCGATTGACGGGACTCGGTGGACTCGTGGACGTGGGACCCGTTGGCATTTGGGCTCCAAGCTTTTGAGCGTGTCTTTTCGAGTTACACGAAGGAGAACCGCAGAACGTTCGGCAGATGACCAAGGTGCGGCCAGGGATGAACCCCCCCGGCCAGGGTGGGAGGATATGTGGCGAAGGAAGGGATGGAAACATCAACAAATTGCGCCCTCCGACAGGTCTTGAGTCTTTAGTTCAGGGTTGTGAAAAATAACATACAGGCTGGCATTCGGCCCCAGTTTTGAAGAAGCCAGTGGTATTCCTGGTCCTACTTGTTTTTTTATCATTGTGTGTTTTGGTGTGTTTGAGTCAACACGGACCATTTTCCAATGTAGTGCATTGTCGCACTGTTCAAACACACTATGTTTTACAGTTTTACGGCTAGGTATTTTTCAGTCACCCAGTCACCGTCCAGCGCGTTTGTACTTTTCACCACATTTCGGGACACCGTGTTTGGGTCTACAACCAACACCAAACAGTCCCGGAATGCGGTGAAACAACATGTGTTTTCCGAAACATCATTTCATGAAATACTCTGAGCATGCAAAAGCAACACTAAAGCGATCCGAGTTCACAACAATGTCCAATGACTCATGTCACATGCCCTAAAATCTGTTTGAGCACAGATGTTCCCAGAGAAGCCAGGAGTCCAAGTGACACAGTCCAAGCGAACAAAGGATCGCAAGGGTTTGGGAAACGAAAACCGATGTTTCTTGCCTAAAAGCAGCAACAACAACAACTACTACTACTACTACTGCTACTACCACCACTACTACTTCTACTCCTACTACTCCTCCTACTACTACTACTACTCCTACTACTCCTACTCCTACTCCTCGCTACTCCTACTCCTACTCCTGTTGCTGCTACTACTATTATTGTTATCACAACAACCACAAAACACATCAAACAACAAGACTTAGGCAAAAAGCAGACAAACTTTTTGGACTTAACACGCGGAGCTGTTCTGCGTCCCAATTGACGGGCTGCACAAGCAGTGCTTGGGAAGTGCGGCCAGAGAAATCTCGTGACTGTTTCTGGAATTGTCCTTGTGAAACGAAAGAGCTTCTGTAAAGAAGAATGCATTCCGGACAGCAAAGGGTAGACAAGCCCACAACTAATGATGCAAGTTGCGGATTCGGGAATTGAGCTGTCAAGGTAGACAATGAAATCCACCATGAACAGGCTCGGATGGAAGCCATAGGGTCTAATAGGGTCCCTCATGGTTCAGTCAGTAGTCAATGTGCTACGGAAGGGTGTCGTGTGTGGCAACAAACTATTGCATTCAATGCAATGACAACTGTGGTCCATGGTCATGGTTGTCTCAGGCTTATATTCCATACAGAACAAACGCATTCATCACCCTCCCTGCCCCATCCCAGGTTCCACGTCAAGTGTGCCTAGCAGTGTGGGTTTGTAGACACAGACTGTGAAGACCATTGTGGGTCATTTTCTTAAAACTTCTCCAATGATTGGGCAAAAACCTTCCGGCGTATTTTCCAGTGATGGAGTGGCAACACCGTTAATATCCAATCTCACCACCTGCTATTCCTCCTAGTGCATCCAATTATCTTTAACAGAGGTAGACCTTTGGACCTTTCAGTTCCCTAGGCAACTCGAACCACGACCCTGGTGCATCAAACGGACCAAAGCAAAACAGAACGGGTTCCAGGTGGGATTTGATGGATGTGATGCTGAGATTACCTTGAGCGCCGGCGCAAAAATCAGGCGAGCAGAGTCGTGGCAGGGAGTTGCGCTCGCTCTTCGCTGGTGGAACGAAGACGTCGAAGACGTCCAAGTCGAAGGAATCCCAGCTCCCAGAACCGAGTTCTGGAACTGGTAGATATGGATGAACTGGCACAATCATTCACAATAGCATACTTGTAGCACCGCATGTTTTATGCGTAAATACAGTATAATAAAAGATTAATTAGGCACATGATTGACATATTGTACTCTATCATGAAAGGATCAGGGAAATGTTCTTGGTTTTTGCAATGTTGTTCTCCTCTAGACCAGTGATAGTTACAACTCTCGAAGACATTTGCCTGGAACTTAGCTTTGGAAGGTGATTTCCTGATAAGCCCTTCAAAAAGAACCTCGTTCCATGTTCGGCTCGACCGCACGCGATGTCGATGGAGTGGTGCGGCGGTGTAAGCTTCGAAAGGACCAGATGAAGGGGACTGGAATAGTTACATGTTGGGTCTGTCCATTCACAGTTCATATAGGGACTGCTATAGTATCCCCCTTACCTTATCCTTTATGAAATGGGGATCCTGTTCCTCTATAGAATGGGTTACCGGGGTCCCACTTCATAAAGGGTAGCACTCCGGCATAGTGGATCTTAGTCAGATGCCTAGGTTGGCCAGTCATTTTATAAAACACGCAGGTGTGGAGGCACACCCACAGTATGAGCATAGACACGCATCCATGTGGACTGCGGATAAGTCAATTCATAAACACTGCCTGTAGAGTTTAATGCAAGCTCTTTGTTGGATGTGCAGGTGTGGCTAAGCCATTTTATAAAAAATGGCTTCTTTCAATGATGGCTCAAGCATCCCGAAGATTGCCGAACACAACAGGACCTCACAAACAAAGACACGTAATCAAAAATAGAAGTGACATCCATAGAACGTAACAAAAAAAATAAAAAATAGCAAAAGCCGTCATTGACAGAGACAAATCACATACATT